TTTAACAACTTAGGATCAATTGAATTTCATAGAAGACTACACAATTATGCATCATTTTTAATCCAAGTCAGCCTTTTAGTTGATGCCATGTCACTAGAATTTTTTATCAAGTGATCATCATATTCTTGACCTATAATCATAATTCTACAAAGTAGCTTAGGAAGAATAATTGCCACTATGACCTATAAGACAAACAAATTTATATTTCAAGGATTCTACTAGACCCAAATAACTTGCCATGTCTTCTTGATTCTGTTGTAGATGAACAATATCTGACACAACTTTGTAAATGAGTTGTATGTCATTTGTGTACAAAGTTGACTTTGTTCCACTTTGCAACAAGTCCTACAAGACTGAAACAAATTTAACAACTTAGGATCAATTGAATTTCGTAGAAGACTACACAATTATGCATCATTTTTATTCCAAATCAGCCTTTTAGTTGATGCCATGTCACTAGAATTTTTTATCAAGTGATCATCATATTCATGACCTATAATCATAATTCTACAAAGTAGCTTAGGAAGAATAATTGCCACTATGATCTAGTTTTGTTGTAGTAATTGTAAGTGATAGTGCCCCCAAGTAGGGCTGGCAAGGGGACGGGGACGGGGACTGCGGGACGGGACGAAGGGGGACGGGACGGGACAAGGGACGGGGTTGGGGGGATTTTGGGGGGACCGGGATTGGGGGGACAAAAATAAGTCCCGTCCCGTCCCACTATATATACGGGATGGGACGGGTTTTGGGGGGACAGGACGGGACAGGGGATTTTTTATTTTTTATATACTTATTTATTTGTATTGAAATTATATGTTATTGAATAACATTTTTAGTTTATTTGATTTTTTTTCAATAACATTTTTAGCTAATAAATAATGCTTAAGTTTTCAAATTTCAAAATTCAAATTTCAATTTCAAAATTCAAATTTCAATTTCAAACTTCAAATTTCAAACTTTTCAAATTTCAAATTTCAAATTTCAAATTTCAAATTCAACTTTCAAATTTCAAACTTCAATTTTCAATTTTCAAATTTGAGAAGTTCAAATTTGTATTTTAAATATTTTAAAGTAATTTAAACTTGAAATTTTGATTTTAAAATTAAGTATTTTAAAGTTAGTTTAGTATATATGTAAATATGTATGAATATATTAAAATTAAAATGCAAGACAATAGTTATATAAAAAAGACTTAATAAAGCCTTCAAATTTATTCAATAAAATCTAATTGCAACTTAGAACTTAGAAGTTACAATTTACAAATATTAGTGGAGTAACTAATCTACGCAGCCACCTTCTAGGAAGGGTTCTGTTTCAATTAGTTCTCGGATGTAATCTAATATTTGTATTTTCCTTTAAAATCCAATTCTAATTGTTGCATCATATCGACGGTAACATCCTCCGGTGTTGGCAAACTTGCTAGAAACTCTTGTGACTCTAATTCATCAACACTAGATCCAAGTACCGCATTAATCCAAGCTTCTTGTTTGGAACTTAACTTTGGCAAATTATCATTTCTCCTCTCGGCGTTGACCCAATCTCTAAATAAAACTGATATTTCCAAACTGTCTTCCGCCAATGAATGTCTATGATCGTCAAGTTGAAACCTTGCCGCACTAAAAACAGCCTCTGATGCAACTGATGAAGCTTGAATAGCTAGAACATCACGAACCATTTTGCTCAAAATTGGAAATGCAACGCTCCGCCTCCTCCACCATGCTAATAATTCTTCATTGCCATCTTCGTCTTCCACTGTTTCTAAAGATTGATTAAGATATTCTTCAAAATCATCACGGTTAGTAGAATTAAGACCAAGAAAATCTCGCATATAACTTGAAATTCGAGCTTTACTCTGAGGATTAGAAGTTTGACCAACTTCTTGAGTATTTCCTGTAGTTCTATATTTTTCATACAAAATTTTTGCTTCTACTTTTATGCTACACTTACAAAATTCACAAGTTGGATTTATTTCCGGTGAAATTTCTAAGGTATCATAGAAAGTGTCAACAAGTCCCTGCACACCTTGTAATTTATAGTCAGGATGAAGTAAAGTAGCAGTTAAAAAAATTTGAGGAATAGGAAAAAAATATTTTTAAAATTTTTCAATCATACCTTCAATTGCAACTCTAAATTTTTCAATTTTTTTGTATTTAGAAAATTGAATTGAAATAGCACAAATATTTATTAATACTGATGAAATAGTAGGATAATAAATTCCAGAAAACATGGTTGTAGCATCATAAAAAAGTCTAAAAAATTCTAACAGTTCATTAGTTTCTTCCCAATCTTCTTCACAAATTCTGTTTAATGGGTTAGCATTATGAGCATTAAACACCATTTGTATGGGTCCTCTATATTCGTAAGCAACTGAAAACATTTCGTAAAAAGAATTCCACCTTGTTTTAATATGTCTTGGAATTTTTCTTGGTGGCAAATCACATAGTACACAACGCTCATTAAATTCCCTAATTCTAGCAGCTCTATTAGCATAAAAAAATCCAGGCAACAGCATATTCAATTTTCATACAACCACATTCAAATAATGAAATACCATCTTGTACAACTAAATTAACATCAATTGGACATAATCTAGTTTTTAACATACTAGCAGCGTTTACATTATTAGATGCATTATCTAATGCGACAGACATTACTTTATCTATAAGCATGTAATTATCTATAACACTCAAAATATTTGAAGCTAAATATGCACCAGCTTTTTTCTCTACACATTTTTTATAACTTAAGATTCTTTTTTGCAAATTCCAGTTATGATCAATCCAATGTGCTGTAACAGTTAAATAATCACGTCCATTAACACTACGACCCATGTCCGAAGTTATAGACACTCTACAATCTAATATGCTAAACACACAACGAAGATATTGACAATGTTTACCTTGATATACAAAAACATCAGATTTAACAGTATTTCTTGAAAAACCTCTATAATTAGGATTATAAGTTTGTTGAATATATTCAATAAAACCGGGATGTGAAGGAAAACTATAAGGTAAACCACAAACAGAAACCATTTTAGCTAAATTTTCACGATCTCTTTCCTTATTATATTTACGTTGTGTTAGTGGACCACCGGGGTTAGAAGGATCTAATGTTCCTTGAACCATGTTAGAAGCCCCTACCGATTCATTAACATTAATATCAAAATCATTAACTGGAATTCCTTTTTTTCTATTGGCTAATGATTTAGCTTCTTTATATTGAATTGACACACAAGATAACAAATGTCTATTTAAGCCCCCCGTCCCACCTTGACCTCCACCTTGTTTATGTTTAAAAGGTTGCTTACATTTATTACAAATAGCAATATAATTTTCCTTATCTAAAGTCATAAATTGCCACATAACAGAAGTTTTAGGGCATTGATACTTCACCTTCTCCCTTGTAGGAGGTATAAGGGGTGGCCGTCCAGAATTTTGCTCCGTTGAATTTGTAGTTTCATTGGAACATTTGTCACCGGACTAGTAGGTGTATCTTCTAATTCATCTTCTCCCGAACCAACTTCTACTTCTTCACCTGAATTTTCATCAAGATAAGGATTAATATCACCATAAATTTGTTGTAAAAGTTCATGATCGAGTTGAGCATTTGAATCAATATCATAAGAAGTATCATCAACATAAGTAGAATCATTTGTATTAAATCTAACTCTAGAAGTACCACCACATTTACTCTTATTTTTTTCCTTACTACTTGTTTTAGTAAAATTAAATAATCTACTAATGCCACTTGGTTCTTTCTCTTTTCCTTTACCGGTATTTTTTTTGTTAGAACTCATATTTAATTATATGTAAAGTATAATATAAAAATAATAATAACACAAAAATTAATGACGAAAAATAAAATATAAATATTATGAAACGAATGTACCAAACGTCTGCGTTAATAGCACACGTTATAACCGATTCTTGAAGCTTGTAGTTTGTTGTAACTTGTAACTTGTAATTTGGAACTCCAATATTTGATAGCAAATATGAGAATTATATATATTATGATATATAATATGAAAACTTAGAATTGAAATATATGTATTATGATATAATATGAGACTTAAATGGGAATAAAATATTGAGATTTGAGACTTAAGATTGAGACTTGAAAGAATATAAATGAGAGAATATATGATTTTGTAAGAAATAATAAGGGATAGAGGGGTATTTATAATATTAAAAGTGGGTTAAAGTGTATTTATAATAACTTGAGGGTTTAAAGTAAATTATTAAAAGTAGGGGTGGTAGGGGGAAAAACTGTCAAAAAATCCGTTGGGGGGCCCCACTAGCCGTTGCCCAACGGATAGATTTTTAAAAAAGAAAAAAAAAAAAATTTGATAGGGGATCCCGCGAACCGGTCGGTTCATCCGGGCCGGGACCGGGACCAACGGGTGAACCGGACCGGTACTGGTCCCCTAATCCCGAAGGCCCCCATCCCGCGAGATTCAAACGGGACCGGGTCCAGGGCCGGGGCAGGCCGACCCGATTCCCCTGCCAGTCCTACCCCCAAGGCCTAGCTCAAGTGGCAAAAGGTGGAGGATTTGTGGCTTAGGTCGCAGGTTCAAGCCCCACACCACGCAAAGCGAAGCCTGATATTTAAGTGGAGAAGGGTAGAGGGGCGGGCCCATTATCCACCGAGTTTAGAAGGCTGTGATTGGTCCAAAGGGGGGTCAAAGACGGATTTCTCGGTTAAAAAAAAATAAAAAAATAAAAATGTAAGTGATAGTTTGGAAGAGAGTTGGCCTTCCAATATTCTGAATTCCATTGTTTCGGACATGATTTATCACCAAAAGATATAGAAACTAGTAGTAGCAAAAGAAAAAATCTAGCAAATATAAACTCTTTGTTTTGTTTGTTCGATTCAGTTTTAAAGACTGAATAGGTTCAGGACTTGTGCCTGGGAGCATTTCTTTTCCCTCTCATTTATCACTTGAACTGCTTTATGAGATGGGACCGGGACCAATTGAGCTTTTATGATCTTACTGGTTTCCTTAAATATTTAAGTGTTAAAAACCTCATGGTTTTCCAATACTCTTCACAGGATGCTCATGAAGAATCAAAGGCTGTCACGAAAGCTACTGCTATGAAAGGTAATCCATTTTCTTGTGGTTATGCTGCTGTGGCATGTGCTGGAAAAAAATGATTTGCATTACTGATACGTTATTTTCTAGTACATAGTAGATTCTCTATAAGCTAGTTCAGCTAAGGGTTGAGTAAGAAACCTTTAATATGATCACTGAGTTATATTACAAATATTTTCCCACTTGATAGTTGAATAGTTATGGATGGTTTTAGTTTATAAAGGAGGAAATGGGTGAAGAAAACGATCCTCCAAAGATCTCTGTTGTTATTTTAAGATATCTAGATATAAAGATCTGTTCTAAAACGACATTAAACTAAAAAAATTTTTATGAAGGGCTACAAAACCAATTAACCCCCTTCCTTTTGTTTTTTAGATAGGAAAAAACAAAGATAATAAAATACATGTTAATGAATCTTGGCCTAACTCAACCCCAAAAGCTAGATCATGAGGGGAGGGTTGCGCAAGGTTATATAAAGAGACCTCCCATTATTAAGTCAACCAATGTGGAACTCAACACCCTCCACACGTGACACACTGAGCAACAGATGCTACTTGTGGAGATGTCTGCTTACTTGCGTGATTCCGAAGAGACTCATTATATTCCTTTATAGCAATAGGATCATAACTAGGTGGTGGACCATGCAAAATATGATATATGTCACGAGTGTGTCCAAGTTTATGACAATAACTACACTTGGATCGAGATCTACCAAAACGACTTCCTCCTCTACGATTCTCCATAGGCTGATATGTTCGCTTGTCTATGGTTTGAGATGTGAGAACAGAGGAGTCAATGGTGGATGATGAAACTACTTTGTGACAGGGAGGCGCAGCAAGACGAAGTAGACCAAAGAATAATTCATCAATTATAGGAATTGTAGGACTAGCTAAAATCTGATCACGTACTGAATCATGGTCAGGAGGAAGTCCAGTGAAACAAGGTCTGTCTGTGCTCTTGTTGTTTTTCTACGTTCGTAGTGACTGACATCAACCTCTCAAATTCCTCCATGACCGCCTGTACTTGTCATAAGTATTTAGACATATCAGATTCTTGTTTCTTTAAGTTAGTCATGCGAGAGATCACATCATAGAACCGAGATATGTCATTAGTGTATAAAGCATGAGCCTTTTCCCAAACTGAATAGCATGTCTTGAATTGGCGAAACAAGGGCATCAACTTGGAATCAATAGATCATCATATGAGACTACATAATTGAGTATCAATCTTCTCCCATTGTGCTATGCTTTTGCATGTTCCTCACTAGCATTTGTCATTTCATCTACCACACAAGCATTGGTTCTTAAATGGTCTTGGACACCTTGACCCTTGCACCACAACTCAACGGAGGAAGCCCAAGCTAAATAGTTTGAGCTTCCCATTAATGATTTTGAAGTAATCATAGGGCTTGAACTTCCACTTTTGGGGCCAAAAATATCAATCCCGAAAGACAACTTGTAAAAATCAGGCAAAAAAAATTGTTTCTATCGCCGGAAAATTAGATCTGCCACCGGTAAGTGGACAGAAATCAAAGAAAAAAATTATATATGTAGGGTCAGAATTACGAGGCGACCCCGGAAAAACAATATGCTGAAAAAAGGGACGGAAACCGCCTAAAATTTCTGGAAAAGTGGCTGGAATCGGCGGAATCTTGAAAAAAAAAACAGATCTGATTGCCCAAAAATGGTCGGAATCAGGAAATAATTGTATGGGTAGCCTCAGAAGGGAGAGCCGATACAACTGGAAAAAGAAAAACTGCCGAAAAGTTGCCGGAACTAACCTCACACACCGGCGCGTGGTCAAATTTCGCCGGAAAATTCCCACCTCTGATCGGTGCGTGAGGTGTTATTGTCCGGTGGGTCTGATTGGGGTTTTGTCGTCAGAGAGTGAGGGACCCAGTGGTGGTGTTGGTTTTCCCACAACACTAGCGAAAAGAGATGATGACAAAATTCAATTTCGACCGTCGCCGGAAATTTCTGTAAAGGTTTCTCACCATTGCTCTGATACCATGTGAGAAATAAAGGAGAAAATATTATTGAAATTGTGTGTCTACATTAAGACCCTATTTATAGACAGTATATTAAACTCCTTTCTAAATTGTAATTCCTATTCCTATTCTAAATAGGATTGTAATACTTAATTCTATTCTAACAACTTTTATTGCTGTCAACAAATTACACGGTGACGATATTTTCTGTCAAAGGTCACTCGTAAATCCATAACGATTACTTTCTCTGCTGGTCTTATACCATGTAGGGAATAAGAGAGACTGGAGAAAAAAATTGAGAGAATTTGTGAAAGAAGATGTATGACATTTGCGTCTTTTATGTTCACGGCTCACGCTCTACAATGCACTTCTTTTACATTTTTCGATGGGGAACACTTGCATAAACTTCTATATATTACTTGTAAGTCCTATCTATTTACACAATCTGTGATTAGTTCTTGATTCTAATTATAGGAACCTTATTAGCAATTTCAATGAGTGATGAAAGATATAGGTGCAGTTTCATGTTGAGTAATCATCTTTCTTTGCTTTTTGTTTCATGTTCACAATGGGTTTATAACTATTTTAAACTCATTTTAAGTATATGTTTCTAAGCAATGAGATTGTAAATGCAGCAATTAAGCAGCGAATGGAAAAAGATGTTGACGAAGTTAGCAAAGTAGCTCGATTCATCAAATTAAAGATCGAGGAACTTGACAAAGAAGTGAGTAAGATTAAATGCTTTCATCTCTTAGTTCTGGTACTTCTGTGTTTCTTTTGGTTACAATCTATTTTTCCTATATTGTAGAATCTGTCCAATAGAAGCAAACCAGGGTGTGGTAAAGGATCAGCTGTTGACAGATCAAGAACCGCAACAACAGTGTAATTTTGAGTGCTTACATCTCTTTTGTCTACTCAATATTTGTTTCTTTTTTGATATGGTCACACCTCGGTGTTATTTTGACATTTGTGGGTGGGTATCTCTGAATAATTTCTTTTAATGGATGCACAAACTGACTGCTGGCACAAAACAATATATTGGGACATACAGTGGATAAGTTTGAGGGTAGGTCTACGGTATCTCCGTGCATTTGCTAGTATGACTGTATACTATGTTCTCTTGTCGTACAGTTATGGCATGCTACTTAGAGTCGAATTGCTATATTACTACCTTTTACACAAATTGATGTTGTTTCTGTAGTTCTTCTTAGCAGCATATTTATTGTTGACTTCTGCCTTGTTAAGATCACATATCTTAATTATATGAACATAATCTTCTGACTCGTACTACAAAAGTAATTACCAATCTATATGCTCATAAAGCACAATTTTTAGTTCTTAAATGCACAGTTCCTAGAGGGTTCCAAATCTAGCCTTCCAATATGAGTGCGAGTCAAGCAAGCCTGAATCCATCCAATGAATGAAATGACAACATATGAAGTCAGTATCTTCCAATTTGTCATAATACTTAATGTGTCAGAAAAATGAAGCACAATAGTTATGCCTTTTCTCAGGCTTCTCTTCTTTTCCAACAATTCAGATTCTCTACTACTTGTCTTATTACACATGTGGTCAACGAGTGAACTCAGCCTGTTATCTTTAATTGCAGTTCCTTGAAAAAGAAATTCAAAGATAAAATGTCCGAGTTTCAGGTATGCCAGCTACATTAATAATGGTTCTTTCTCTTCTGATTTTTTCTTGCTTTTTAGGTTTAGTTGATAATTTTTTTACAGACACTACGAGAAAACATCCACAAAGAATATCGTGAGGTTGTTGAAAGGCGTGTATATACGGGTATTAAGAACAACGGATTTGAGATTCTGCATCGATTACTTAGAATTTTTATCCAATTGTAACTATTTGCTTTTGGTGTGTATGACAGTGACGGGCAATCGAGCTGATGAAGAGGTGAATCTATGTAGTGTTGTTGAATTCTTGAAAATGTCAGTTTTCTATGCACATGTTCTAATGTTTCCCTGTATTTTCTGCTCCATGCAGACAATTGATCGGTTGATAGAAACTGGGGACAGTGAGCAGATATTCCAGAAAGCTATCCGGGAACAAGGGCGAGGACAGGTATGCTCCTGCTCGGCTGTTTGTGCTATCTTTTTCTGTCAGTAGCTTCACAGTGGTGTCGTAGTAATAGTTCATGCCGTCCTGCTCAGCTGTTTATCCTATCCTTTTTATTCAGTAGCTTCACAGTGGTGTCCTAGTAAAGTTCACATATGACGAAGGGTCATTATATCATGCTTTTAACTTACATTCCAAATGCATTGGGTCATGGTGGTTATGCTTGTAAAGCTGACCAATTAGGTTTCTATTTAAACTTCCTGGTTTATTTATGGTCAACAGGACCATCTAGTGCTGTTTGAATTCTGTTCTTTTAGTATAATTGGATATTTAAGTAGGATTTTCATGAATAATACCTTGAGGGACCTGATATTCTCTCTGTCCCCTCCCACCAATTATTACCATGTCAGCAGTTTATTGATACAGGGATAGCCCATCTTTGCACAGGTTTAGCGAGAAGGAAAAAGGTTGAGCTGATCAGTAGATAGGACTAAGGAATAATATTGTTTGGTTGTAAACGGAATCAATAGTGTCCCAACGGAAGCCTCTTGCCGCTAAGTTAAGCAGCCGTAGTATTTTCGTACCAATCATGTATTCATATAAATCATTTCCTTACCATCATATCCTTACTTATAACTCTCACACCGCTGGTGCCTTATGTTCTCTATTCCATTTATACTTTGGGTCTCTCAAATTCGATTCCTTCATCTCTCCCTGTGAAAACAAAAGAGAAGAAAATGGTTCATTCTCATCTGATGGAACTATCATAAAGTAAGACACTCATCCAAAAAGGCTAAAAGATAGGATGCATGATTTGACTCGGTAGAATAAGAAACCAAGGAATGGATTTCCAAATTGTTGTAGCAACTTTTACTCTCAATCCTTTCACAAAATTTCTAAGCCGGATGATTTCCTAGCTGATAAAGGTCTCTTTAAATCTCAGGCCCAGTGCCATGTGCTTGAAGTAGTATAACAGCAAATTACTTATTAAAAACAGTAATGTAACACGTCATACTCGCACAATGTTTTCTCCTACATATATGTTAAACTGTTGCTGGGCAAAAGATGTTGAGAGTTAGGCAATTAATTCGAACTACATGGGGCAGATATCAGTGAGAGGGAGTTATTTGGTTGGTCATTGATGATATTTCAAAATATAGCATTATTTTGGTAATAAATCACATTTTGGCCACCAATCTTTCACGGTCAATAGTTACTGTAAGCAGTTACTCGATCTTGCTGGATGTTTTATTTCATTTTCCCTCCTCATTTTTCTTCTGCATAAATTTATGCAAACTTTTGCCTTTTCCCTCTGGCTCTGTTATATTAGTTTCACTAACCACGGCACTAATGTGCCTATTGAATTATAATAATTAGTTCCATCATCACTGGTTCTCTATGTTACTTTTTTGCAGATAATGGATACGCTAGCGGAAATTCAAGAGCGCCATGATGCAGTCAGAGAGCTAGAGAGGAAACTTCTTGAGTTGCAACAGGTATAACACGTATCCCTATGATGAGGGACAATATAACAGCAAAAATTACTCACAGATTCCTAATTTTCAACTAAGTGGGGAGAGAGGGGACAAGGAATGCAGAAAAAATAGAAGAAAAATTGGATTATATTCTTGTTCTGTTCTGTTGAATATATAATTAAATAAATAAAAATATTCCATTTAAAATAACGTAAATTATTGAATGAGATGTCACACAATTCAGCATGGTTTCAGAATAGATGGAGGTCCTAGGTTAAGTCTCACCGCAACCCATTATTTTTAGGAATTTCCTCAAGTTCAACTCATAAAAAAGAATCAACCTGTAGGTGAAGGGCGCATGCTGAAGATATGATTAGGTAAATAGAAGTGTGTGATTATATATATATATATATATATATATATATATATATATATAACACGGGCTTGTCGAAGATATAATTAAGTAAATAAAAGAGTGTGTGTCTCTCTCTATAATTATATATATTTATATCTTCTAATATGGACTAAACATGAGCACAGAGTGCTGAGTGCTGATCATATTGTCTCTCTCACTCCGAGAGTATGTTTCCGAGATATCTATGCTCAAGATAATGTCAGTTGGTTTAAACATACACCCGATGAAATAAAATCACAGAAATGATGGAGTTTATAAATTTATTCTCCTTTTTCCGATGGAAGGTGACAGACATTGTGGGAAGTGATGATGCCATTATGGAATTAGTTCCTGAAAAAAGAAGAAGAAAAACAGGCAGTGATATCCGGTTTAAAATTGATTACTATCTTCGATGCAGATATTCTTGGACATGGCAGTGTTAGTTGATGCTCAAGGGGACATGCTTGATAATATAGAATCACAGGTAATTTCATTATCTTTGTGTGACCCCTATGCTGATATGGGTACTTTCTTGTTTCTTTGTTGTCTTGCATTTTTTATTGTCTCTATCGTTATGTTTCATTTCCTCATTGTTTGACATGCCAATTGAAATTTATTACCTACCCCTAGCCTGATACCTTTTCTTTCCTCTTTCCTCTTATGCATATTTAAATATTCTCCATCTTTATATTTTATTTTCCCATTGCTTGACAATCCAATTGAAATTCATTATATTTGTATGAATCCGACCCTCATACCTACTCTTTTTTTATCTTTATTTTTGTTGGGAAATATTCTGTGTTTATATTTTCTTGTTAGAAGGCTCAAATATGCGATCAAGCTTTGAGAAAACTCATTTATGTCACCCCGTTAATTGTTGGGCTCAATCATGCCGTTACTATTACAAAAAGGGTCGATTCGTGCTATTATTTTTTAACGGTCATATTTGATGGTTCTGTACAACTACTTTTTCCATGTGGGCTCTTATTAGAGGTCCACGTCACCAAAATTAAGCTGGTCAAAAGAAGTTCAAATATGTAATTTAACTTTGAGAAAAAAGATTCATCTACACCATTCGTTAATAACTTTGGGTTCAACCATGCCACCATCGTTACAAAATGAGCCCATTCGTCCTACTTTTTAACAGTCAGGTTTGATGGTTTTACAAAAGCGTTTTTTTTTAATCTGCCCTCTTATTAAAAGAGTGCCAAAATTAAATCAACCTAATTTAATGAAATTTGAATTTAAAACCTGATCCATTATCACCATACACGACTTACCCTAACCCATTTCCCTTTTATTTCTCCCTCAGACCCTTAGATCGACAATTGGCAAGAAACTGCTAGATGAATTCATCATTATACATAGTAGAAGAAAAACTGGGTTCAAAATATTAATTATATAATATAATACTAAGCAAACAAGAAATTGACACTGAATTATGCTAGAAATGGTAGGGGAATAAGAAGCAAAAAAAAAGAAACTAACTTTACTACTACCCAAGTGAAATTATGGAGTTCAAGATCGAACCCACGAGTGTAATCGCAATTAGAACCCCATAAAATCTCTATGGAACTCCAAACAGTAAGAAAATAAACAAGAAAAAAAAAACTTACGTTAGCTAAAGAAGAAGTGATGTAATCAAGAAAAATGGGGTTCTATTTTGGAATAGTGAGAGAAGAGTGATGGAGCTGTGTTAAGAAATTGAAAGATTAGGGCTTGTAAGCATTGGATTTTTGAAGCTTTTGTAAGGGAGTCAAACATTAAAAAGGGGGTTTGGAGGAGAAATAAAAGGAAAATGGGTTAGGGTGGGTGGGTGATCACCCCCAAAACTTGCCCTATAGAGGATAAGCGGTCGTTGCAAATATAATCTAGATTTCTTTGTGACCGGAGTCGATCCCACAAAGACCTATCAAAGCTTTCTTTTGTATCGCTAAGAATAATTTAGTAATCAATTTCTCAAGGTTTAATATTTTGATTCTTTTCATTATTAATTTAAATAAGAACTAAGACAAATATAAATAATTAAACACGTAAGTAATGTATGATTTTCTTTTAGAGGAAAGCTAGGTTGATGATTTCACTGACTGTCGGAATCTATGTTTGCTCGGACTCTTCAAAAATGCCAACAGGTGTGTCAGATTCGCCAAAAGTAGTGTATTTTTGGAGAATCCGAGACGGATGCAACATCAAAAGTGAGAGTCCGCGTAACTAAGGTCGGAATAACTTAGAATATGCACATTATAATCTTGTCGAGTTATTCTCTATCGACCATGAACCTTTAGTCGCTATAATTGTTTCTCAGCATATAATAGTGATTTTCTAGAGCTATTCTCTCGAAAGAACTCTAGCTAACCGATTACTCTATTCAGATAGGTCGCACCAAAGTTGTTATCTCTAACTTCCACTTTTAAATCTCGGTCATAAATCTCTTAATAACTCAAAGTGGTGTTCAACTTAAAAACCTAATCTCACAGTCTCTCTCTAGAAAATAAAATACCACAACACTATTTATTGAGGGCCCTTCAATTGGCTACAATAAAATATAGTCGAATAAATAGAGATAAAGTAAAAGGACTTGATTATAGTAAAACAAAATCACTAGTTCATCCAATAATGGGTTCTATCAATCATCCTGGAAAATAATCTAGCTACTCATAGTAGAGTTTAAGAACATAGCATAGATTGACATAACGAACTAGTAAAAGAGTAGAAGAGAATGAAACTCTATGTTGAATTCCAAGTTATCAGCTATTCTCCTTCTTGCCTCTCAAAAGCTGCGTAACACCTTGAATATCGAGTTAATATACTATTTATACTGCACATATTTAATCTGTGGACGACCTTCGGCCAAAATAATTAAACCCCGTCACATTTTTGTTGTACGCTTTGCGGGCCAGATAGCGTGGCCGCTCCGCACACGGCCAATGTTCAGGAGCTACATTTGTTTGCTCTTCAATGTCCGTTTCTACTAGCAGAGCGGGCCTGGTAGCGTGGTCGATCAGTGCACGGCCAAAGTTCAGGAATTGTATTTGTTTGCTATTCAATGTTCCTTTTCAACTAGTGTGGAGCGGGCTTGGTTGCGTGGCCGCTCTGCGCACAGCCAATTGTTGTGTTCTTCAACTTTTTCTTCATTTTTCAAAGACCTTTAGCTCAATGACTCTCGGATGCGATCTCGATCATTCCAATGGACTTATATTTAGACGTTAAAGGTCTATAATAAATCTATATTTGCTCCAAATATGCATATTAGCTCTGACAAATATCTTATCCAAAGAAACACACATAAGAAGCACATAGCAATAATAATAATGATCAAGTGAAGACAAAAGAAAACATATGAGACCTTTACAATGATTAAATGTGTGTATTTTATGCCGAATATTAGTCGGGTATGGTGTTAATGAATTGGATTTTAATTCCAAATATGGTTGAACCCAACTATTAACGAATGACGTAAATGAACCTTTTTTCAAAGTTGGACATCATAGTTGAATTTTTGTTTACCAGTTTAATTTAGTGATGTGGACCTCTAATAAGAGGCAATGTGGAAACAATGGTTTTGCAAAACCACAAAACCTGACAGTTAAAAAATAATGGCACGAACAGGCCCTTTTTGTGACGGTAGTGTCATGATTGACTCCAATTATAAATGGAGGACATCAATGAGGCTTTCTCAAAGTTCGATGGCATATTTGAGTTTTTTTCCTATTTTCTTTCATCATTGCTTGACAATCCAATTTTCAGGTTTCAGCTGCAGTTGACCATGTGCAATCACTGAGATGTATTATTTTAATTATTTACAAACCTGTTTCTTTTTCTTTTTTTTCTTCTTCTTTTGGGGTTAGTGTAACGTCAGTGCATACTATAACTCATTTTACTGTAATCTAAGAGGAGTTGCATGTTGGTTGTACTGTTCTACCAGTGGCATGGCAAGTGATTGTGTTTTCTTTGGTGGTGATGATCACAGTGCAAACTCCAACAAGATTACGTTATTCATGGTATGGTCTTTCATGTCGAATTAGTTCCGTCTATTGTTTACAATATTTGTTCTATTCCAGGTAGTCAATGTGTCTAATTCTTGGCTTCTATTTCGCAGCGGTCTTTAATTTTCATCCTCAAATGCATTCTTTATTTTACTACTATTGCTCATATAATGATATTTGTGGACCAAAGTACTTTATCTATGAACTAATTTTGCTTAGTATAAGTTTAGCGAACTTTTGCTTTGTCTGACTAAGTGTTGTAGGAATTGAGTTATCGGACCTAAGTTGTGTAGTATCTAATTCATTCGGCATAAGTTAGAGAGTTTTTGCTTCATTTGACATAAGTATTGTGAGAAAAGGCTTAAAATAGTCCATTATCTCTGAGTTTAGACTCAAAATAGTCCCATTTCTTTTTAGTGGAGTATTAATAATCCTGATTCTTTAACAAAGCAGTGTATTTTTAGTCACTATCATAACCACTGTGAGTTTTTTTAACAGAGTAGTAGGTTGTGCACGTGACTTCTTCTCCCGAGCAAACTAACTCCTCAAATATCATTCTCTTCCCCCATTTCTATACCTAGTGTAGTTTTTTCTCTCTTTATAAACAAACCAGGTCATTCTCTTCCACCATTCCTTTTCCCAAAATTTCATAATAACCTTAATTTACAGATTATTCTCTCAACTTAATGGTTTATGGCAACTCTCTGCATTTGATATTTCAAATAACCAAATTTATGGGAATTTACCACAATTTTCATTGAAGATCAAGGCACTATCACTAGGCCACAACTTGCTAGTAGGACACATTACCCTAGTGCATAAACTTAGACATCTAAGAACATTAGACCTTAGTGAAAATTTTCAGGAGGAATAAACAAAGGGATATTCATGTTACCTGAATTAAGTCACCTAAACGTTTCACAGTGTTTGAGGTGGTGGAATTCTCTGATAAAGAATAAAATGTCAATCGTCTACATGGTCATTTGCCTGTGAACTTGGTTACTTACCCAAACTTAACAGAAATAAACCTTGGACATAACCTGTTTTCGGATGAGATTCCATTAGAATATTGGTCAAGACTCGGATTTTCATGGAGAAGTCTCAACTTGGAATATAATAGGCTGGAGGGATCGGAGCTTCGAGAGCTCAACAGGACTTTAGAAGGGGTTTGGGGAAGTTTTGAACACAATTCTCTCATTTGTCCAAAGGAATTGCAGCTATGTCATGGACAGAGGACAACTTCAGAATGTCATGGAGGATACCATAATTAGTTGACATATTTATCTTCTAATGTTTCAAAAGGAGAAGCCCAAACGACATTGCAATAGCAAGAGTTTTAAGTTTGGAGGGAAAGATATGAGTAGCACATGCATAACCTGTTGCTCTGTTAAAAAACTGACAGTGGCTAGAATGGAGATTGAAAATGCACCACTTTATTAAAGAATAAGGATTATTTATGCTCCACTAAAAAGAAATAGGACTATTTTGAGTCTAAACTCAGAGGTAATGGACTATTTTAAGCCTTTTCTCTAAGTATTGTAGTTATTAGGTTATCCCTCTTACAACATTACTTGTAGGTTCTGAAATTGAACTTTTTGTCTCATTCGACATGAGTTTTGTAGGAATTAAGTTATGTATCTTATGGCACAACTTAACTTGTGGTGTTCGAAACTGAACTTTTGCCTTACTCTACAAATGTTCTGTAGGAATTAAGTCATGTATTCTACGACATCACTTAAGAGTTTTGAACTAAGCTTTTGCCTTGATTTGTAGGAATTAAGTTATGCTCTTCCAATATAATTTTTGAATTCTGAAATTGAACTTTTGCCTCGCTCGACATAAATTTTGTAGGAATTAAGTTATGTCTTTTTTATGACATAACTTATGGGATATGAATTGAACTTTTACCTCAATCTGCATAAGTTTTGTAGGAATGAAAAGGAATAACTTGTGTTATATTATTATAATATAAGAAAAATTTCAAGAAAAATATATTTATTAATTTGATGTTGGATAATTAAAATTACTTTTTTTGTTACTTAAAATGCTGAAGGACAAAAATTATAGAATACATATTGGAGGTGCAAAAATTAAAATCATCTAAAATTAGCAAATGACCCTCTTACAGCAGCCGCCAACCCCTGTGATGGTCCCCGAAGCCTTGTCAATCATTAAGGGGTCGTTGAATGTTATTTTAGAACAATTAGTCATAAACATAAAATCTCGCAAAAGATGATACTAGGAGTGTTCACGATTTGGATAAAAATTGATTCAAACTGATAAAATAAAATCGATTTGTTTGGTTTTAGATTTTTGAAAACCGATAGTATTTGGTTTGGTTATGGTTTTATTCGAAAAAACCGAAAAAATAACCGAACCAAACCGATGAATTATATACATATATTTTATTAATATACATACTTAATATATTGTTTTTATAAACAATTTTAAAGATCTTATACATATTTTCAATTTCTTTATAATTTACTTATTGAAAGCAAAAATGCCCAAGATGAAACATTTATCTTATTGATTTCATGTATATGAGTATCTATGACAATTCTTTGTGAGAATGAAAATGTTATTTTCTCTTCCTTCTAGGCCAATATAGTGAATTTTAAAGCTTTATTGATAGTAAATTTAGTTATCGAAAGTTCAGTAATTTAAGTCATTCTAACTATTTTTCGTTTTGAATGGATTGTTATCACTTTTTTCACATTTTGAATGAATTGTTTCTTTTATTTGTGTATGGTTAATAACCGAATAACCGAACCAAACCAAACTGAAACCGATAACCACCAAACCGATAAATGTATATTATATTTGATTTGGTTTGGTTTTGATAATTTTAAAATTGATTAAGTTGATTTGGTTTTGATTTTCACCAATAACCGATCCAAACCAACCTGTGAACACCCCTAGATGATACGATACTACTGATTAGGAAAAAATATGTAACATGGTAAATATATGTTATTAGTAGGATTCTTTACCTAAATAATATATTTTATTCTGAAAAAGGTCCAAAATATCCTTGAACTATAGGAAAAGGTCTAAAATTATCCTCCATCCATCTTTTGGTCTAAATATACCCTTCTACTCATTTTATTGGTCTAAAAATACCCTTTCATTCACATTTTAGCTCACTTGAAACTAACAACCCTATCTTTATTTTGTTTTTTTAAAAAAATATTTATTATGTGTCATTCTCCTCATTGGATGAAATAAAATCTCCATCTCAACTAGATTTTCCCCCATAATTTATCCAAGCAAAAAAGAATATACTTCTTCAAGACCTAATTATTTTTATTTTTTTTATAAAAAAAATCTAATAGTTTTTTGTATTTGTTGTAGCTTTTTTTTTTATCCGACTCCTCTCAATTTTTTTCTCTATTAGATTGGTTATTGTATTCAACTTTGTCACCAAGATTTGAGGGGTAATACAAGAAAACTAACATTTCATTGGTACTGAAGAAAAAGAGAGAAATATAAGCAAGGCTGTAATGATAGGAATGTAAATCCAAAGACTTCCAAGCTGTATACCAAGTGGCTTAAATACGATTTACGAGGGAGCAAGAACATTCTAGTGATTGACAATGACTTTTATCTGATAATGTTAATATTCTGAAACTGTCTGCGACATGCAATTTTAATAACTTGACAGCACCAAGTTATGTACAAGTACAACTAAGCAAAAGCATCCCTGTTTGGCTATGCAGGGTACTAAGGACAAACATCATAAACCTGAGTTAACAAAGTTCTAAATGTAAACTCGGTTGCACGAATCAGCTTTTGAAGGTAATCTTGGACGAATATATAAAACCTTGATGATAATCACTGCTAGTCTTCCTCCATATCATCAGAATCTTCATCAGGATTATCCTCCTCCATATCATCAGAATCTTCATAATAATCACTGTAACTGTCTTGATCATCATCAAAATCTTGAAAATAATCACTCCAACTTTCTTCCTCATCATCAGAATATTGATGATCCTCACTGTAACTGTCTTCCTCATCATCATCAGAATCTTGATCAGATTTATCCTTAGCATTAACCACATAGGATACATATACATGCCTACAATTGAAATCATGAAAATCATGTGAAAGCTCCAAATAATGAAGATTCGAGGCAAAAATTTCAAAGGGACTATAATTTTCACTTCCATCATCCTCCATCCAGTAACCTTCCAATTTCAGGCTTTTTACTTTTAAAGAATTAATTTTCAGGCAACGAAAACCCCCAACCTTGTGAAACAAAATAGTTTTCAAAACAGGACAGCCTGATAGTAAGTTCACAATTTCAGTATCCCCAGTCATATTCTCCAAAGTTATGCTCTTCAGAGACTTCCACGCTTTGCAATGTTAGAAACCAAGGAACTTTCTACTAGATGTAATGTTCTCAACGTCGAACATGTGAAGAAAGATTCAGGAAATACCCAAAGAGGATCAGGATAGACAATAACATGTTCCATACAAAAATACTAGGTGATTCTTTTCATTTGTCCTAGCCTTGGTGGTCAGATTTACCTGGTACCTATTGCTGGTGAGAGGTGACAGGTATCCTGTGGAATTAGTCGAGATGCATGGAACCTGACCCGGACACCACGGTCATTAAAAAAGAAAATATTCCACTTTCTTTTAACAACAAAACTAAGCCAATTCCTTCTTCTTTTTTCCCTGAGGTAGCTTTTCTAGTTGGTGATGCTCAAAGAACAGATCACATAAACAATATTTTGAAAGAAACCTGGATTATTGTCATAAGGATCATCAGTTGTCACTGACGAAAAACAAGATTCACTATATTGACCATAGTATATCAATTTTGTCAACAAAGTAGGTCAAAGAAAAGACGGGATTTAGGGGACAACACAATAGAACTTCCATCCGTTGGTAATGAAGAAAAAGAGAGAGAGATAAGAAAGGTTGTGATAGCAGGAATGTAAATCCAAAAACTTCCAAGTCAGCAAGTCGTATGCCAAGTGACTAACAAATGATAAAGTTATAACCTCAATCAGCAGGAAAAAAATGAGATTTCAAGGGGGGGAGGGGGACTGTCTGGTAGTGATGGAAATGACTTGTTCTGAATTTTCTAGTGGACGCATTAGAAGGATAAAACC